ATTCGGTATAAACGTTATTGTTTGCTAAAAAACATGTGTAGCGTGTGTGTGTATGTGTGTGTGCGCGCGCGCGCACGCGTGTGTGGGGGCTGGGGGGGGGGGGTCAATAAAGTTAAGAATTTTAGATTGTGGGAAAAACTGTTTATTCAAAGAATGTGACGTAACAATTTAAAAAAAAATCATTTAGGATCATTGGTAATTAAAAACACAAACTAATATCAATGGACTAAATGTGTTCCTTTTAAAACAATTGAATTCCTTAAACAGGGTAACGCTAGTAACAGACACATTCAGCGATATCAGCTTACAGTATCTGCATTGCTTGCGGCTAAAAAAGAAATAATTGGATGCCGTCTTTACGATGAAGGTCGGCTGCAATGAATCTTCAACACTATGGAGTCCAGTTGTATACTATCTCAGACTTTCAAATACCATATTTTAACACTGTTCCCCCCCCCCACCCTCTTGTATCGCTCCTTACCTCTTGCTTGCTCATCTGCTTTCAAGTTTCCTCGCGTAACCAACGTCCCAGTGCGGAATCAAAGGGGCCATGGATATTAACCGTTTTAGAACCACTGATCTTCTAAAAATAATCCATGATCGTGATTGGTTGGTGTCCAGAGGAGGTCACTATGGCGGAGACGGAGATAAAGTTGGCCACCTGAGTGACGGGGGTCGTTCGTTGATGGTAGAGAACCTAGACTGGGCATTATTTGTTTACCCTTGCAGCCATGGACGAAGACGATAACCCGTATGAAACACTCGGTGTGTCAACTACCATGAGTACACACATGCTGGCTGGGGCAGCCGCCGGAGTCATGGAACACTCAGTCATGTATCCTGTTGATTGTGTGAAGGTATGCCACGCTCAGGGAATTGGTGTGAATGTTACGTTACAGTTAGTTACTGTTAACAAATAGTTACTCTTACTCCATGATGATGATCATATGATGATGATACTGTTTCAGCAGGACTGTGTATACTCTTATACTGTCACCAATGCAACAGTTAAAAAGTATACAATACAGTACACATTTGCTACACACAGTGAATTATATCTTGGTTATGTATCAATCATGTTTTTTTACTTATCCTCATCGAATTGTTGAGGTGGGGGGGGGGGGGGGGTTGAAATGTATAGATGTATAAAGTTAATTACTTTTCTCCAATGAGTTACCTAATCAAGCAGACTGTGCTGTATTGGATCCTAGGCCACTGCCACTGCAACATGAAGGGAAATTAAAGAGAAAACACTAGACATAACAGCCAGATACAAGGTTTACTTATGAAGAAAATAAAACTCAGAGCAAGGCAGCTCTTAGAACCTATTGGAACACTTCCCTTCCAGAACATAGTTCTGATGACCTAACCTCTTCACATGAAAGGATCATATCATTATATTTAGACTGCATACTAGACAGAACAGACTTTGCAGCCATGTGCACAAGAAGTTCAAGATTGGGTACTCAGAACTTTGCCCATGTAGACACTGAAAGACAGGCGCAGCAGAATACTGAACATGTGTTACAGACATGTGCGTCTTTACATGCTGTAGATCTCCCAGGTTTGGCTGTTTGGGGCATTTCAGTGGAAACCAGGCTGTATGGGACAGTGACATATGGCTTTCTCATCTGAGAATAAAAAGATTTTTTTTAAAGGATGTTCTTTGATGCCACAATTATCTTGTAGAGGCCTTCACCATGCCTTGAGTTCATTATATCATTGTCAGTGTGGATGTCTGTGGTAGGTAGTTGGTACCAGGGCATTCTCATCAGGTGGCCGAACAGTACAGCTGTCTGGGGTAGGTAGTTGGTAGCAGGGCATTCTCATCAGGTGGCCGAACAGTGTGGATGTCTGTTGTAGGTAGTTGGTACCAGGGCATTCTTTTCAGCTGGCTGAACAGTCTTAGCTGTCTATTGTAGGTAGTTGGTACCAGGGCAATCTTGTCAGCTGGCTGAACAGTCTTAGCTGTCTGTTGTAGGTAGTTGGTACCAGGGCAATCTTGTCAGCTGGCTGAACAGTCGCAGCTGTCTGTTGTAGGTAGTTGGTAGCAGGGAATTCTCATCAGGTGGCTGAACAGTCTCAGCTGTCTGTTGTAGGTAGTTGGTAGCAGGCATTCTCGTCAGGTCGCTGAAAAGTCTTATCTATTGCTCTTTAATGAATTGTATGACGTCTGCTTCTGATTACTTATGCACATCACTGCTGTTATTAGAATATTTGTATTTGGTGTAGTAAAAAAAATAAAAACAGTACTCCTGTAAACAGAAAAGGTTTGACAAACATTGCTTTCTAACATTGTGTCAAAAGGTTCAGTTCTGAAATTTTCATTCTGTTTTTGGTAACAGACACGAATGCAGTCCCTAGTGCCAGACCCTAAAGCAGACTATCGGAGTGTTGCAGATGCCCTCAACAAAATAGTTCGCAATGAAGGAATAAGAAATACAGTTCGAGGATTCAGTGCCATGGCTTTTGGAGCTGGACCTGCACATGCTCTATATTTTGCCTGCTATGAAAAAATGAAATTGATTTTAAGTGATGGGAAACAGGGAAATCACTTTGCTCATGGTAATTTTGTTAACATTGTTATTTCTTGTGCACATTGATAATCTTTTAGTCTGGACAATTTTGCACCCCCTCTGATTTTATATGTCTGTCTGTCTGTCTGTCTGTCTGTCTCTCTGTCTCTCTCTTGGCCCAAATGTCAGACGGGCCTGAGTGCCCAATTTGTAACCCTTTGAAAATAAAGTTTGTTTGTTCATTTGTTCTCTCTGTCTCTCTGTCCCTATCTCTGTCTCTCTCTTTTTCTCTGCTTATGCCAATTGTCAGTTCTGTATTTTTGTGTTCATATCTTAACATCATTTATTATATATATTACCTTTCAAATAATGATATTGGACTCCATGTATGAGCTCTGGGGCCCTATTATGGGGAAAACAAGAATAGACCCACTGCCTCTCCATCAAGCATGTCGTAGAAGCCGATAATTTTCGGGCATCCTTTGAAGTCTGAGAGAAAAAGAGCCAAGAGTCTGCATACAAATAATAAACCAGATGTGAAATGCTCAGGTTTGGGAACAAGACTAAAATCCGAAACTAGACAAACAACCAGATGTGAAATGCTCAGGTTTGGGAACAAGACTAAAATCTGAAACTAGACAAACAACCAGATGTGAAATGCTCAGGTTTGGGAACAAGACTAAAATCCGAAACTAGACAAACAACCAGATGTGAAATGCTCAGGTTTGGGAACAAGACTAAAATCTGAAACTAGACAAACAACCAGATGTGAAATGCTCAGGTTTGGGAACAAGACTAAAATCTGAAACTAGACAAACAACCAGATGTGAAATGCTCAGGTTTGGGAACAAGACTAAAATCTGAAACTAGACAAACAACCAGATGTGAAATGCTCAGGTTTGGGAACAAGACTAAAATCTGAAACTAGACAAACACTCAGAATTTTCTGCTGGAGTTTACAGCTGGGAACAAGAGGAAGAAGATTAAACGGTCATCACTGTATTCTGGAGAAGTCTTTGAGTTTTCAGATGTCTTCGTTTTGATATATAAAAAAAGGGGGTAATCATTAAGTGTGAAAATTCAAACAATTGGAAAACACAAAGTAGATGTCAGTTTGATAAAAGAAAAGAATGTTTTGGCGACATCCAACCGGTTTTTATTTGTTACAATGTGTGTTTGAGTAAATTGAGTGTTTTACCTGAGTCACAATATAGGGTATTTGAATTAATTAGTATATGATTTGGTAACTGAAGTGCTTTTCTATTTAAAGAATGGGGTTTAGTAACTTTGTGGGTGTCTGTGGCTTAGGCTCTGCGAACAAGCTTCATAATGCCAAGGTGCGGGGTTTTTCTCAGCTGCGGACGGTTTGTCTTGCATTGGTTTTGACAGTGGTAAGGAGAGCTGACCGTTCAAAAGCAGTGGCAAGCTACCGAATGTAAAATTTGACTAGAAAAACCACAGCAGCCAAAATATCCTGGGTTTGTTTTTTTAATGTCCTGTAAAGGATAATTTATTTTTTTTAGAAACTGGAGTGTTTTTCCTCTTTAAGATATGTATTTTAGTAACTGGATTGTTTCTCTTTTCTACAATGTGTGGTTTAGTAACTGGAGTGTTTCTCTTATTTACAATAAGTATTTTAGTAACTGGAGTGTTTTTCCTATTTACAATATGTAGTTTAGTAACTGGATTGCTTCTTCTATTTACAGTATGTGGTTTAGTAACTGGAGTGTTTTATATATCTGTTTAGTAGCTGGAGTTTTCAAACTAATTACATTGTGTACTCATTTTTATAGCTAAAGTGTTTTTGATAATTACATTTTAAGGTTTAGTGACTGAAGTATTTTTATTCACTTGAGGATTATCATCCCAGAGCTAACATAGTTATGAAAAAAAAAATACCAAGGTGCTTGCTTAAAGTTTTAACTTGCTCGCTGAAACATGTCTGTAGTAGGGCTGAAACATGTCATTGTGCCTTCGTGTAAAAGCCCCAAGCATATCTATAGTAGGGCTGTCTGCGTAACTAAACTGTTCATCTGGGCCAAGGAATGAATGCCTTAAAGGCAGATTTTTAGTTCATAACAGGTAGTAATCATCTCTATTTGAAAGTGGGTCATTAAATAAGTGCGTTGATAGGCATCTGAATAGAAATAGATAATTATTGTAGGCCACAATTTTATTGGCTGCAGAGTATTATAGGCCTAGTTGGCAGGCATGTTGAATGCTGTTGCATAGCTTAACAGGAAACATGGTCTGCTTTAACTCTTTATTTCATCATCATCATTTTGTAGCAGGTCCTTTGCAGAATGTCATTCATCACAGCCCACCAGAAAGCCACTGGTCAATTGTTCTACCTCATAAACTTTCTGTTTTCTGAAGTTTCTCTTATCCTGTGTCCACTGTCATACTAGTCAGCCTCTCCCTTATCTTCTAGGAACAGTGTTTTTTATTACTGCTCTCTCTGTACTGTTATGATGTTCAGTTTGACTAAGTAAATGATTCTGTTTGTGAGCCAGCCCTCTCTTTGTGTTCAGAACCTGATGAATTGTTCCTTGTCCTGGTCCATGTTTTTTATATGGCCATAAACGTCAGCTGAAATTAATGGTAGTTAGTCCATTTCTGGAATTTGGCTTTGTTCCGGGACCTGAGTTAGCATGTGCATCTATTTTACAGATCTGGCTTATTAGTATGCAGACTGTTGGTTCCTTGCTTTTCAGGCAAATGCACTCTGACTTTAAAGGTTGCCTCCTATGACATGCTTGTTGGGAGTAGTTGGTCAGTTCTTTTCCCTCTAAAAATGGGAGCCCGGAACCCCCACGGGGATGAGGATCTTGGTCCATGGTGCTCTAAGAATACTCTTGTAACACTGAAGTTTACAGTGTCTTGATGAGTTTCTTGAAGTGCTTAATGTGGTAGGTAGTTAAAGGTGCATCACCCAGGAATTGAGCCCATGTTGCAAGAATGGGAATCGTGCATGATACACTTACAGTGCTGCATTCTCTTTTTGCCAAGAAACAAATCAAGCATTTGTTTGTTAACCTCATGACAAATATCAGCTCTACTGGTCCCAAACTATTTGTTTCATTAGTCATTCTTTTATATTTGCTACTTTAACTCCCTTTGCCTCATGTTGTAGTGATGTTAATATACCACCAGTGCGAGGAACTGAGTATTGGAGATTCTTGTGGTCAGCCTTCGTTCTCAAGTGCGAAGAACCATGTATTAGAGATCCTTGTAGTCAACCTTCATTCTGAAGTGCCAAGAACCGAGTATTGGAGATCCTTGTGGTCAACCTTCATTCTGAAGTGCCAAGAACCGAGTATTTTAAATCCTTGTGGTCAGCCTTCAATCTGAAATGCCAAGAACCGAGTATTGGAGAACCTTGTGGTCAACCTTCATTCTGAAGTGCGAAGAACCGAGTATTGGAGAACCTTGTGGTCAACCTTCTGAAGTGCGACAAACCGAGTATTGGAGATCCTTATGGTCAACCTTCATTTTAAAGTGACAAGAACCGACTATTTGAAATCCTTGTGGTCAGCCTTCATTCTAAAGTGTGACAAACTGAGTATCTGAAATCCTTGTGGTCAGCCTTCATTCTGAAATGCGACAAACTGAGTATTTGAAATCCTTGTGGTCAGCCTTCATTCTGAAATGCGACAAACTGAGTATTTGAAACCCTTGTGGTCAGCCTTCATTCTGAAATGCGACAAACTGAGTATTTGAAATCCTTGTGGTCAGCCTTCATTCTGAAATGCGACAGAGTATTTGAAATCCTTGTGGTCAGCCTTCATTCTGAAATGCGACAAACTGAGTATTTGAAATCCTTGTGGTCAGCCTTCATTCTGAAATGCGACAAACTGAGTATTTGAAATCCTTGTGGTTGGTCAGCCTTCATTCTGAAATGCCAAAAACCGAGTATTGGAAATCCTGGTGGTCAGCCTTCATTCTGAAATGTGAAGAACTGAGTATTGGAGATCCTTGTGGTCAGCCTTCATTCTGAAATGTGAAGAACTGAGTATTGGAGATCCTTGTAGTCGACCTTCTTTCTGAAGTCAGCACCTGGTTGATCTGTATAGCCTTCTGCCCAGGCCAGATTAACAAATTTTGAGAAAAACATCCATAATAATAATAATATTAATAGAATGACTGCTTCTGGTACATGTACATTTAGGTCTTCGCTAGTATTATATAGATTTTGCACTGTGTCGAGCTTCTCATGTGCATTTTGAGGGAGGTTGGAGCATTAAGGGGAGGATTTATGTTTGCATGGAGGATGATTTTTTTTTTTAAGAAAGAAAAGCAAACTGATGTATATTTACACATTTACATAGTTTTTGGAATTCTGTCTACAGGCTTTGCAGGGTGCACTGCAACACTTCTACATGATGCAATCATGAATCCAGCTGATGGTAAAGTGTTTTCTTTCTTGCACATTTGTTTCTTTATGTGTTTTAAAAAAAAAAGATATTGATGTCTTTGTTTTTTTTTATTAGCACTTTTAAGTCTTTCTGACAATAGCGTTATGTCGTGATCTAGGGAGACAACAGAAATCACAGTCCATGTCTGTGGCGAGTGTGACTAGCAAGACCCACTTGTGATAAGATGTCTTCTAGAATTAGAGCATGGGATTTTAGGACCATTGTTGCCATCACATTTATTTATTCTACTTCCTGACCCTGTTGCTCACGAACACACACACAAAATTGTCTTTTTCTTCTCTTCGCATTCATCGACTTTAAACTCCGGCAGAAAGTTCTGGTTGTTCATCAACTTCTAGATTCTAGTCCTGTTCCTAAACTTGAATGTTGCATGTACATCCGTTTCAAAAATCTGACTGATTTGTATGCAGACTGTTAGTTCCTTGCTTCCCAGGCAGATGCACTCTAACTTTGAAGGAAGCTCCCGTTTAGTCTACTCTTAGACATGCTTTTGGCTTGTGGGTCTGTTCTTGTTTCCTCAACAGTGAGACCCCGGAACCCACACTGGACGGTTTTTTTCAAAATATATTAAGATATATTAAAGGAGTAATCAATAAACTGAACAGAGTGACAGCATTAAATGGAATACATTTGCTGGGACTTAAAAATATATATATAACCTCTGGGGCTGAGACAGGTGGAAAATTTGATGTCAACATAGCTTTAAAAAGACATATGACTGAAAAGAAACCCCCACCCCTAAGATCCTAAGATGCTAGTTTTTGTTAATTTATTTATAATTTGACTTCCAAAATTCTGTGCAGGTGCGAACACAACCAATAGCGCTAATTATGTATCTCACTAATACATCACAGTAGAAAAGTCTTTTATGTTACGTACAGCGAATTTAATCCAACCAGGCATTGGTTTTGCGGCTAATTGGGGTGACACAGTTAAACTATCTGCAACCATTTTCTCCTTCTATCTTGTGTTACCTTCCTCTGTGTAACACAGTCCATGACATCCTGTTCACACAAATCCACATCAGTGAATCTTGTTTGCTCACATCTTTATATCATAGTAGGGGCTTGATACGTGCGGTGGCGCTTGAAACTGATGTGTGTGGTACCAAGATGAATTAGGCCAAGTAGGGGTAAAACAGTAGTTACTTCAATGCTTTCAAAAGGTAGAGCTCGAACGCTATGCGTTAAGTTCCAACGGTTGTATTGATATATACAATCAGCAATACAAGGAGAAATATGCAAGTAATAATCAACTCGTTCAACCAAAGCTCGCTCGTACATCCATGTAATGATATGTCCTCACGATAGGTCGCAGTCCGACCTTGAGATCCAGACGATTTACTTTCTCCTCGGACAAGTCCGAATTAAGCAATGAAAGTATACCGGCGTAATGCCGAAAATGTAACGTTTACCAGCTTCCTGCTGAGGTCTTGGAGTCCCGGGGTAAAACGTCCTCAAGGATCCAACTTTATATAACGTTTGCTTCCGTGGGATCCCGGGGTAAAGCGTCCTCAAGGATTCCCACGTCCGTCTCCTTCGGACTATAAACATCAACTGCTTTTGACAACAACAATATCATAACAACGTTACGTATTGTTTTGACGTCTTATTTGCTCACTCCGTACTGGTGCGTTCTGGTGCACATTCGCACGCGACAGGGCTGACCTCGACATCTTTGACCAATCTGTAATTCATCGTATAGGGTGTCCTCAACGAGTGTTCTAGCCATCTGAGCCTTCAAATCACTTAGCATTGAGAACTGTTGCAATATCTGCTCTTCCCAGTACCTCAGAGTACCTCGAGTGTTCTACATACACACTGCATATGAAAACTGTCTTGGTCTTGCTGTTTCTCCTAGTATGAATAAGTCAACTAGGTTTTACTCTGGAATTCTGTAAAGAAGAGTGCTAAGCCTCCCAAGCTTGTCTTTGAGGTGTTGTTAAATTAATCTTTTATGAAATTCCATTTGGCGAGAATGCTTTGGTAAAAATTGCCACACAAAAACAGTACCACAGAAATGATGGGAAAACAGTGTCAAGAGTAACCTTAGACAAAGGAAGAGCAACTTATAGACAGTACATTAGAAATTGCACACAGTTCTTACATCTTCAACAATACTTCACACAGGTAACTGGTGTAAGAGAAGAAGAAGATGGAAAATCTTTTATTTAGGAAAATTATCAAACTTTATGTATACTTTTGTTGTTTCATGTCCAGTGATAGCAAACTGGGGTTTGATTCCTCTGTGACAGGTCACTGATGATGATTTGGCAGATAACGACCGCTTGTGCACAATAATGGACCCCCTTTCCTCGACCATTTGCATATCACGAGTAGAAGAGGAAAAAGTCAAGTTAGAACAGTCAGTGTGTTCTGGCAACAGATGTATTTGGAAACTGATTAGCTGAATGAAAGCTAATCTATGGATATTTTTTAAATATTTTTTTAATTGTACCTGCTAGTGTGCTAAAAATTTATTTTGTATATTTCAGTTGTCAAGCAACGCATGCAGATGTATGGTAGCCCATACCAGTCAACTTTTCTCTGTTTTCGGGAAATACTGCACACAGAAGGAATAAAAGCCTTTTATAGGAGCTACACAACTCAGCTCACTATGAATATTCCTTTTCATTCACTTCAGTTTATCACATATGAAGTCATGCAGGACTTGCTGAATCAACAACGGAACTATGATCCAACCTCTCACATCGTGGCAGGATCAGTAGCAGGGGCCGTGGCAGCTGGCGTCACAATGCCTTTAGATGTGTGCAAAACTCTCCTCAATACTCAGGAACATTGTGCCAGGACTCACCTGACATACATTAGTGGCATGTCATCAGCTTTTCGGACCATATATGAATTCTGTGGTGTAGCTGGATTTTTTCGAGGACTGTCTGCCCGTGTTATATACCAGATGCCATCGACGGCCATTTCGTGGTCGGTGTATGAGTTTTTTAAGTATGCGATCCATAAAAAGAGGCAGCAGGTTCCAGACGATGTCTACATAGGCCCAACTGTGCACATAGCTACTGCCACTGCCAGGTGAATTGTGCTAAGGTTAATAGTTTGTAAGTGTTTGTGTCGTTTTTGTGTGCATCTTTGTGAACTGTCACTCCGTATGGGTATAATGGGAACACATCTGACTTATTCAGATGTTGGGAACTTGATAACATCATTTTAGTGACTGTTCAGATTTTTCTTCTTCTTCATTCCATTTATGACTTGCTTGTTTTCAGGGCTGTTCGTGTGTTCTCCCCCCTCCCCGCCCCCACCCCCCAATCTCAAGCGTTGGGCCAAGGAATCCATAAGGGATGTTAAAATATGACCTTTTTAGGTTAAAAAAAAAAGTAAATACGAAGTGTATTTATATTTCAATAAAATATTCTTCATCATCGTCAGATAAAAATATTTGTCCACTACTTGAAGGTACAGCTGATTGGCTGCTGCTCTGTGATATGGATCTTGATGTCATGACATAATGTTTCAACTGGATGATAAGGATAGATATTTTGATGAAACGTTATAAATAAACCTGTTATTTCCTTTTTTTTTTAAATGTGTGTTTCAAAGTCTGTGGCTTAGGCATTACAAATGCGCTTCAAAATTCCAAGAGGCGTTCAACTCCATATGTGCCCAACTTGGCAGCAGACCCCCTTGCTTTGGTTTTGTTAGTGGTATCAATAGCTGACTGTTTATTTCACTTAACACAACATTGCTTAATGAAGTCACAAACAGCCAAAAAGATGCTGGGATTGGTTCTGTAATGTCCTGTCAAGGATACACAGCTAACTCTTTTACCTCGACAAAATGCAGAAGGAGAGATAGAATAGTCTCTACTTGTTTTTAATGGTCCCTTATTTTGTCAGCTGATCTCTCGTGATCTGAAAGAAGCTGTTCCATGTGTCCTACTGCTAAGATTACACATACACACACGCACGCACGTGAGAAGATCAGTTTTATCCCTTCATTCTTTCTTCACAAAGTTGCTGGCTGCATGAGTAATGTCACACAAAGCACAAATTGCATAGCTGCAGAATTGTTCCTCAATGATCCACAGAAATGTACACATTTGAACCAAACAGCAGTCCATAAATAAAACCACACCCTTCAGAGTATGATGCAATATTCTTGACCACTCAGCCATGGAGACACCATATTACATATTTTGGTGGGTGGGGGCTGCCTTAACTGTGTATCCTGCATGAACTATGACCTAGAAAATAACTTAGGCGTATAAATTGTCTGGGAAATATTCCCCACTGCTGGAATTCATATAGAACTGCATTTTTCTATAATATAATTCCACAACTTTCTGACACATGTAACCTTTCATGTAATAATGTTACATAATTCACAGCCAGATTCTTTGGCCTTCTTTGGGACAAGCCACTGTTGCTATCCCAGGAATCAATACAGTATGTTTGCGCTGCATGTTTCATGACTTTTTGAAAACTTGCTTAGTCATGAATAGGTTTTATATGAATCAGTTTTCAAATGCCATACGCTGTATGGCATTCTGAAACCCATTGTTTTTCCAGGGCTCAGTCTGTCTGATTGTTTATGATGTCCTCTCAACATGACATGTTGTCTGCTGACACATCGTTATCCGCCTTAGTACCTTTTTAATATCATAAGCTCCTTTTTCTTCTTCTTCTCCTCCTCCTTCCTCTTCCTTCATCATCTTCTTCCTCTTCATCCTCCCTAATCTCTCTTATTTTTTATTCCTTCCATATTGTTCCCACATGAACCCATTTATGTCTCCGCTAGAAAAAGGGCGCTCTTGTCATCTTGCATAGCATAATTTTTTTTCTGCAAGTGTATTTATGCTTAGTTAACCAACTAATCTTTTTTGTGAGATAAGGCACCCAGTTCCACTGCAACTTCCTGTAGTCATCTATTATAGACACATTTGATTGTTTACCTTGTTACTCTTCTTTAATCCTTGTTTATTGTTGTCAGCACCTTTCTGTCTCTCCAGGCAATAGTCTTATTTTGTGCTATAAAAAGGCGTAGGAATCGTAGCCTGTTGTGATATTTGACTAAGGCCAGGGAAGAAGTTCATCCTCTCCATAACCCAAAGCCTGGGAAGTATTGTAGAGACCACATGTTGCCCATACAGCATGATCCCTGCTTTATTTACTCCAAAGGAATGGTAACACCAATACAACACAACGTACTCCGGAAGCTGCCAAATTTGCCGGAGTATCTTTCCATAACATTGAGTTTTCAGGTTGCATTTCCTGCAACTTAGCTGTTGGCTGTGCAATGTCATATTTGGTAATTCCCCCCCCCCCTTCCACCCCATTTCCTGTCTCTGATTGCAAAAACTAATGGGTTGTTGAATTAAGAATCTACATCATAGCACCCAGGATACTCCCATATGTTCTCCCTCCACATCTTCAGCAGCTAATGAAGAGTTCCAGTTCTTATGGTACCAGTAACTGTCTGATTGTACATGCGCCTCGCCTTTCCCCTGAGTGTTTAACGTCGGCCAGATCCCCTGCAGGGCCATTCTCCTCAGACCCTAATGATCTATCTGTGCCTCCGCGCTGTACACTCCATCTCAAAGGGTCTTGTGGACTCTCAGAACATCAAGCGTGTCATACATCAGTTCACCACCAGGTGTTGCAGAACCGATCTGTCTGCCTGCTTATTTTCCAACACACCAGTATGACCTGGAGAAAATATCCAAAGGATGCTAACAACCTGGGACCTATGAAGGGGTGCTTGGCACTCTGCTCGGAGCATGTTCAACATACTCTGTGAGTCAGTTACAATTACGACATGTGTGTACAGCTGATTCTCAGTTAAGCTGAAGACAGCAGTGACTGCCTCCACTTCCATTCTCAAACTAGACATTGTGATATCATTTGCCAGGCTTTATTGCACTAAGCTACATTCATTTGCTTTTGCTATGGACCCCCATGCAACTCATCTGCTTCTAAATGCAGAGCCATCTGTAAAGATAATCACATCAGTTGGGCGGGAATTGTCCTGAATCATTTGTTAGACTTGTGATTCTGCAGCGCCAGCTGGCCAGTCCCTGCACTCATGACCTAAAGTGATTATTTATATATGTGTGTGCGTGCACGCGTGCGTGCGTGTGTGTGTATATATATATATACACACATGTTTGCAGAAAGTCTGTCTCATCGCAGTCTGCCTGATAGAAACTCGGTCTCTCGCCAGCTCTCCCGCCTCATGTACTTTTATATTCAAAGATTCACTTATATCCTTTGCCCATCTTCATGTTGGTTGGCCCCTGCATCCCAGAGGTGTCCCCTGTAGGACTAGAATCTCCAAAATAAGAATCGAATAGGTACAGATCTTAGAGACCATGTTCAGCTGTATAATAAAGTTACATTAGAATACCCAATGATTAACAAAGCAACTTATAGTCCAGTGTGTGTGGGGTGCACTTTGATTTCTGTGTTTCTATGTAGTTCTTGAGATTTTGTATAAACTTGAATTTGATATTTATTAATTGATATTTCTGTGTAATTATTAAAGTTTAAAACAAACTTCAATATGATGTTTCTGGCTAACTCTAAAGAAACTTGAAAGTGATGCTTCTGTATAATCTTAACATTTAGTACAAACTGAAATCTAACGTTTCTCTTGATTCATAAGGCTTTGGTAAAACTGCAAATCATTCATTTCTGGGAAGCTTGAATCTGACATTTCTGGGTAAATCTTAGAAGTGTATTCCAAACTGTACATACATACATATTTTATAATCGTGATTGGTTTTTTTAAAGCTGTTGAAAAGTATTTTTGTTGTCTTTATGCTTTCATTGGTGCCTTCAGCATGTTGTGGTAAGTTCCATCAATAATGTGAATTTCATGAGCCTTCTACTGTGCCTACTTTCTAATGTCTAGTTGTTGATTATCATGCATGTAGTTTGGTTTGTGTTGATGGGTCTTAAATGTATCCAGATAAATGTCATAGCAGAGGTCAACCTCAGCATCCTCCACCCATGTTTCTTTCTTTCACCATAGAGGATGTCCTTAGGATTCTACCATCCAGCTCTCGATTTGTTTTCAGGACAGGAATGGCCTTCCTCCTCCCACAACCCCATTTTATCCCATCATCCTATCATCCTCTGATTCTCTTAACCGTGTGTTTTTTGATCTGCCATTATTCCTTTGACTCTGTGGGTTCCTGTATCTGCTTAGTCTGTAGTTATTTTCTATAAACACATTTGAAACTGATTTTTCAGCAGCAGTCTCTGCTACTCACCCTAAAACATATTAAATTTGTTGTCTTCAGTAATAGTCTTTTATCTGTCCTGGCAGTTGCATCTGTGACTACTTGATTAATGTTCACCTGGGGAAATCTTGTTTCAGGTTCATGCTTTCTTTGGTGACAGTTTATTCCATCTGCATGAAGTGTTGTGTTTTTTATTGTAGTGATGTTGATTCCCATATTAACATGTCTGGCTTCTGGGCATTTTGTCTGCATACGAATAAACAAAATCTGTAGGACGCATATGCAGAAAAAAACTCAAGTTTTGCAACAAGGCTAAAGTCCAGAAGCGGATGAAGAACAAGAACTCTATACCGGGGTCTACAGCCAGTGTCCGCAAAAAAAGAAGATGAAGAAGAAGAAAAAAGACATATTAACTATGCATTTGTTGCCATAGCTCTCAGCATATGAGGAACAAAGAAAGTCACCTCACCCACTCTTGCTCTATTGCAGAACAGACTTTGTAAACATATTAACCTTGATCTGACTATTCTCTTACAAAGATTGCAAAAGTATGAGGTTTGATTATATTTTCATTGTAAGTCTTTCACTTTCACAGTAGTTGGCATTCTTATTGTCTTTGTGCATTGAACTCTTTCAGTCCTAAACAACTTGTGGTATGAGACTGATTACTTTTTTCTCCTCATTACATAATGTGTACTCTAACTTTGTACATTTGACCTGATATAAAGATTCCATAATACTTCCATAGTGGTCATTTTTGCTGTGTTTAATCACTTCCAAAGTCATGCATTCTTCATTTCTTATATTAGTTCTTTCATTTTGGATATTTTTTATAT